GACTATTTTATATTAATGTAAATATTATTTTAAATAGTTTGAATAAATTCTAAAAAAAAGAAATTTTGCTTTTAATCGTTATTAAGTGACAGTAATGTCTCTTTTTATCTCTTTTACCTCATCAATCATTTATTATTGATTGAGTTATGCGAAACACGTGTTTTATATATACGCTATTGTCGTTATATCTTTTTACTTTTTCATTTTCTCCAGAAAATGTTGCATTACGCCACGATTGCCTCGCAGTATCAAGCTGCTATTGACAACGTTCTGTGGAATGAGGAGGTGGGAACTTGGCTCGATTACGATACAAGAACTAAGCAATCCAGAAATACGTTCTATCCTTCGAATCTGTCGCCTCTGTACACGATGAGCTACGATCAGAATAAAAGTACTAAATATGCAAAGCGATCTATTTCCTATCTCAGAAAAAATAAAATCGACTCGTACTTCGGTAAGTCAAACAGATTGCCTTTGATATTTTTATCGCATATTACCGATTAAATATTTCTCTCTCCTTTTTTTCTTTCCCTTTCATATACACATAAAAAAACTCCATAAAAAAAGGTCGCGCAAATATTTGCGGTATAGCTATTAATTGAATGGTTTTAATATGCGCTACGTGTCTGTTTGTAATTGTACAGACATCTCGGGCTGAAAATTGCATTTTAGAACGCATCCATTTGACAAAATATTTTCTCTCTTTGCACAGGTTATTCATTTTATTTCTTTTTTTCATTTTATCATCGTTCGCAATGCAATAAATCGATGCAAATCTAAAATTTTCGCAGATTATCTTAAAATTTTGCCCCGTCGCTCCATTCCATTACTCGTAAGCGCTTTTCACGTTCAAAGCAAATAGAAATAGGATAAATAAAACGTGCCAGAAGTAACAAAAATAGATGAAGATAATGCAAAGTTGAAAGAATGTTTGATGGTTCGATCGATCGATACACGCTCCCTGAACGCAGCGAGATGGAGTATACAAGTTAATCCAACTTCCGCCATTCTGCTTCCGCCATTCTGCTTCCGCGGAGATACGCTTCCGCGTGACCGTTTTTCTTCCATTTTCTTTTTTTAAAAGTTGCTAATGTTTCACTCACGAGTTTCTCCACCGAATATTCGCAGATCGGGCAAACAATGATTTTGCCAATTATCCCTTTTCACAGAGAAGTTGAACGTAACAGCTACGTAACTATCAATGCTATCGGTGTTAAACCGCATCATATCGCATCCAGATATTCCGCGTATACGGAATGCGGTCAAGAGATCTTAATAATGGATCTTAATAACTGCATTCTTCAGCAAATCAGAGTTGCACATAATTTTAACCTCTAATCGTAAATAATTGAACTGAGCTATTCGGCTGACTATTAGCGTTCATTACGACAATTACAATTGAGCAATAAATAACGAACAGTCAACTTTGTTTGAAGATAATTTTAAACATTAAATTATATTAAATTAACTTTTAAACCGTCATCATTATCATTATTGTTGTTGTTGTTATTTTACTATTAGTACTACTACTACTACTACTACTACTACTACTACTACTACTACTACTACTACTACTACTACTACTATTATTATTATTAATATTATATATATATATATATATATATATATATATATATATATATAGAGAGAGAGAGAGAGAGAGAGAGAGAGAGAATTTTATACTAAAACGAGTTTGCAGTTTCATGATTGGCAACGTGCATATTCGACTATATTTTTATTCTTATGCATGTATAAATCATACAAATAGTTAAAGTTTGAAACTAATATTAATAGTTTCTCGGGGAATAGAATAAAACGAGATTCTTAAAAATTTGCTCGCTTTTCATTAAAAATTTTTTTCGCTGCCTGATTATCGAATCCAGGCAATGGTTGTGAAACATAGAAACTCAACGAATAATAAATGACATTTAGACATGTTCTTATATTTCACAAATTATAAATTGAGATTGGATAATATTCTTGTAGAAGAAAATAAATTTTCATATAAAGAGATAAATTAATCTTCTACATAATGTCAATTGAAAGAAGTAAACTATAAATTGTAGCAAACTGAACATGTTATATGATAATAGAACTTTTAGAATAATGGCTGTTTATGGAATAATAATGGCTGTTTATCAAATTATCTTAATAATTCAATGATTCAATGATTTGTAAAATAATATGTAAAATGCGTCACTGTATTCGAAACACTATTGTTTCAAGTCCTAACTCTTATTTTCGATTCTCGTAAATGAACACAATAGCATTATTGATTGTGTTGTCACTTGTATCATTACAAAGAAAAGTAGCATGACTTTTACACTTCCATCTCCGCATGTAGCAGGCATTAAAGAACAGTTGCTAGAAAAGTAAGAACGCAGACCGTGAAGAAAGCTTCCTTGTTGAGTAAAAACTATCTCACGCTAGTTACCATCCGCTCTTTTAATTTCAGATACATTTGTCTTTTACTAAGAAATTGCTCTGACCCGTATTATCTTGGGAAGAAATCTTTATGCGAGGTATTTAATGTTTTATGTGAGAAAATTTATTTCTTAAAATAAAAATAAAACTCAAGAAAGAGTTTTTATTGATATTTATCAATTTTAATAATTATCATTCTTTTCAGGTATAAATAAAAGAAATATATAATTTCATTATAAATTATAAACAATACACAAAACGATAAAAAAAATTGATTGAGATTAATTGATTTTTCTTAAATTTTAGTAAAAATAATACAAAAAATACAATCTGCTTCTAGATTCAAATATTCAGCGATGCAAAGTTGGATTTATACAATGTATTTTAAAATCTTATCGTGAAATTATATTTGTTAAACATACATACATACATATATATTATATATAGGTACGTATATATAAAACAAACGAAACACTTTTCTGTTCTTTTCATATTCCTTCATTTCTTTAACTGTTTTTTTAAATTATTTAATAAAAACGAGAAAAAATATTTTGAAGATTATTAACGAGAAGGATTTTCATGTTATATTTTTCTAATTAAGCAAATATTGCATATAATCAAGCAAAAATAATCGCAATACAATTTACAATCGTGCTTCTCATATTCATAGAAATATTCTCTGTGAATGTGCACTACCGGTGTTCATCAAAAATGCTATTAACAGAAGAAGATCAAACTCGCAAATATTAAGTCTGCTATGTAGCGATACGGTCTACAGAATCCCTCGGGAAATGCAGAGGTGTCAAGACTGGCAAAATATTGCGGCCAAGTAATGTTAAAAAGTAAGTTGTAGCAGTCGAAAGCGATAATAATAAGTATATTTATATAAAAATATTATAATATGCTTTAATTTTGTTATTATATTTTGATTGCAAATCTAATATGAGATTTATTTATAATTACATTGTAATTATAAATATTATTATTTCATGTTTGCAAATTATATGTATTTCATATAATCTATATATAACATAAAAAAACTGTACATATTGAAACAATGCTTTGTCGTATTTATTGTAATAAAAGATTATTTCTTCTTGTAAATTATATTATTTATCATTTCTTCGTAACATGTTTAATCTAAATAATTTTATGGAAACAAATTATTCAATGTCTGATATGATCTAAGACTGCAGAAAATACATGTCTCTGATATTAGAACGGTATTTGCAGTGGCTATGTAGTGACGCATAAACAACTTGACGACTTGCTCTTCTATATTATGCTCAAGATGTACCAAGAAATAAGATACGAAG